ACAACACCCCACACCATGTACAACACCCCACACCATGTACAACATCCCACACCATGTACAACACCCCATACACACCATGTACAACATCCCACACCATGTACAACACCCCATACACACCATGTACAACACCCCATACACACCATGTACAACACCCCACACCATGTACAACATCCCACACCATGTACAACACCCCATACACACCATGTACAACATCCCATACACACCATGTACAACACCCCTACACACACAAGAACAAAAGCTAACACACGGGCTAGGCATGGTAATAATCTCAGCAACAGGGAGGTGAACCAGAAGAATCACCATGAGTTTGAAACCAGCATAGAGCCTCACTACAAATAAAATGTGAAAGGAAAATCTTGGGAAAGGTTATATAAACTGGGCACTTTCCAAGAAAAACTGACAGTGACGCCAGAGCCCTTAAAAAAAAAAAAAAAGATTTATTTATTTATTTTGTATACAGTGTTATGTATTTTGTATACAGTGTTCTGCCTGCATGTACACTGAAGGCCAGAAGAGGGCACCATATCTCATTGTAGATGGTTATGAGCCATGATGTGGGTTGCTGGGAATTGAACCCAGGACCTTTGTAAGAACAGCCAGTGCTGAGCCATCTTTCCAGCCTCAGAGCCGTTTTTTGAAATGTGACCTTTTTTTTTTGTTATTTCATTTCAAGGTTCCACTGTGTTGCTCTTAATGTCCTGAAACTCATTTTGTAGACTAGGTTAGCCTTGAATTTGAGATCTGTCTGCCTCTGCCCTTAGAGTGCTAGGATTAAAGGTGTGTGGCCATCATACTGTGCTAAAACAATTTTATCTTAATTATTAATTATTTAATTATTGGTGTCTATGTAGTCCTGGAACCTACTGTAGACCAGAGTGGCATTAACTTTGTGAAGAGTCCCCTGTCTCTGCTGGGGTTAAAGCCTGCACCAACACACCAGGCCTGTGACTTTCCATTTCTTGAAGATGCCTATGCTCTCTGACTTCTGGAGTAAGGACTAACATTAAGAGACCTAATTTTAGCTGGGTGTGGTGGCACACGCCTGTAATCCCAGCACTCAGGGAGCCAGAGGCAGGTGAATCTCTGAGTTTTAGGCCAGCCTGGTCTACAAAGAAAGTTCAGGACAGTCAAGGCTACACAGAGAAAACATGTCTTGAAAAACAAAAAACCAAAACAACAAAAAAAGAGAACTCATTTTATCCCATGGTCAGAGAGCAGCACAGCCAGTCCTTGCTGCAAAGTTCAGGTTTGCACAGGTACCCAGAGCCAAAGAAGAAATCCCAGCCTCCAAGTAAGGAGGGACGATCAGGAGTTGGAGACATCTACATCTTCCCTGTTTGGCAACTATAGCATACATGGAACATACGAGTCCTCGTGAAGGTGGGATGCAGCTCAGCAGGACTGTGCACCTGCACACCTGCTAGTCACAAGGCCCAGGTGACCCCACAACTGAAAAACAAGACAAAATCAAACAACTCCTCACGGTAATGGGATTCACAGCCACTGAAAATCTAGGGACATGCAGTGGTGGCTGATGCCTCTAGCCCTGACACTCTGAGGCAGGAGGTGTCTGTGAGTTCCAGGCCAGCCTGATCTACACAGTAAGACACACCCACCCCCCACCCCCCATCTAATTTGTTTTTAAAAAGAGGGACACAAGATCAAACCAAAACCAACCAAATAGAACTAAGGGAGCCAGGCATGGATGTTTGCGCCTGTAACTCCAGAGCTCAGGAGGTGGAGACAAGAGGGATGCTGCCATTTTGAAGCCTGCTGGGCTAACAAAGCACAATCTTGTCTCAAGTAAAATACTTAAAATCAAATTAATAAAGGAGAAGAAAATAAAATGGAAAATAGCAATATCTGGAACAAAACAGTTACACATGAATGACAGTCATAAGCCATGTTGAAAGCGCACCCCCCACAGAACAGGGTTTCTCTCTGTGTAGCCCTGGCTGTCCTGTGTAGACCAGGCTAGCCTCAAACTCAGAGATCTGCCTATCTCTGCCAAATGAGTGTGGGCTGAAAGTACTTCCTTTACATAATTTTTGGTTTAATTTTTTTTTTTTTATGCACATGAGAGTTTTGTCTGCATGTCTGTATGTGTACCATGTACCTGACTGGTTCTCACAGAAGCTAGAGGAGGGTGTTATACCCCCTGGAACTGTAGTTACAGATGGCTATGGGTGCTGGGAAGTGACCCTGGGTCCTCTGTAAGAGCAGTCAAGTGTTCTTACCCACTGAGCCATCCATCATTCTAGGCCTATTTTCCTTAAAATAGCCCAAATATTCCTTTAAAGATAAAACATTCCTACAGGATGCCATATCTGTATGGTATCTGTGGCAATCCAAGGCTATCACCCCACCATGTGAGACAAAGACAGGATTCTGAGGCAGCCTGGGCTGTGATTCACCATGTCACACAGCTGCTGCTGTTTACTGCAGCACTGATTCTCTTTTGGTCTTTTAGAAATGAAGTCTCACGGTGTCTTCCAACTCATGGCTCATGCAATCCTCCTGCCTCAGGCTCCTGAGCAGCTAGGACAGTACTGTCACGTTGCCCAGCAGGTCTAAGAACTTCACAGCACCCACGTGTGTGAGAAAACACTTGAGCCTGCCAGCCACACTCCCAGCAGGTGAGGGGACATGCAGGCAACCTTCTGCAGGGAACAGTAACTCTGAACCCACACATGCCTAATACCTGCTTAGCTGCTCCATCCCCTCTTTGTATGTTAGCAATACTTGGGCAGACCCAGGGGGGAAGTCAAGGCACACTTGATGACGCCTCACGGCTCCAACCTCCTGGCTGGCTCCAGGGCCTGGCCTCATGCACATGATCCCCACCCTCCATCACCCAGCACAATAGGGCCCCATCCTGGCAGATGTACTAATGGTTCTGACCAGGTGACCAGACATTCTGTTGAGTGACAGCATCAGTACCCACTCCTATGCTCACTCTTCAGGACAGGTGTTCAACACTTCTCCCCATCCCGGTATCCACTTAACATCCAAATCAAACTTCCCACCTTCATTCCCAAAGGGACTTTTCACTATCCAGTCTTCTGGCAAATGTATTGTTTGGCATGGGCAAGCCTGAGCCAAAGCCACCACTGTCTCCTACCAAGTTCTCTCTACAGTCTACAATCTGAACCCTAGTGGATGGGGCATTTATTTTTGGCCTGGTGAAAACTCCAGGACACGCAGAGCAATGCCAAAATTCACTGACTAATGCCCGCAAGCCCTGATGAGGACTGGAAAATACACTGGCAGTGACAGCAGAGGAAGACTTGACCCTGTCACCCCACTCACACCCGCTATGTGGCACAACAATGTCTCATACAGCCAAGTCTGGGGAAGAGACATGTAAGAGACTACATTTGTATTTCTCTCAGGAGGAATACCTCCCATGCTCTCACCCATGGAGCCAAGCTCCAGGACAGAGGAGCCCATACCTCTACTGAACAACCTGCCGCTGCACAGCTCATCCCAGTTCTGTCAGTGGAGCAACCCATGCCACCATCTAAGGAGAACCAACACAAACCTGCAAGAGGAACAAAGGCAGCCAGAGGCTAGGGGCCAGCTTCCCAGCAAAGGTTCAGAGCTCCACGGAAGGGAGCCGGAGACTGGCAGCTGCGGGCAGCGGGCTCTGAAACGGTATTTAATGAACTGAGGTGCAAGGGTGTTCACCAGTGTGAACACATGCTGAGTTCAGGCAGCCAGGTCTGGGGCAGGAGAGGGAGGAAGCACAACTGAGGACATCAATCCTGAACAGACCTGACTTCCCCTGTCCCCCCACCCCCCAGCTCCATTAAACCTGATGCCTCTTGAATCTAGAGAGCTCTGGGATCACATTCTCCAGAGAAGCCCACTAAATACAAAAAAGCTGGCTGCAGCTCTTCACTCTCCAATTCCCAAGATGGTTAAGGGAGGATGCAGAGCCCGGAACATCTGCCCTGGGCCTTAACTCACCAGGCCAGTGGTCTACTGATGATCCAGCCAACTACCCCACAGCCCAGAAAACATGACTGCACTCACAGGTTCCAGCCAGTCAGGAGAGCAGCCCACTCCTCAAGCTAACTGTAGATCTGAATTACACACAACAGCTCCATTAATATTTATTTTGCTTTTTGGCACACACCTGCAATCAATGCTATTCAGGAAGCTAAGGCAGATGGACTGTGAATTCACGACCAGCCTGGGC